AAAATTAATTTAAAAAGGAAGGAAATAATATTTAATTCGGATTTTTTTTCATTATTTTAACTTTCAAAGGCCTGCAGCCTTGCAAAATGTTTAAAAAAATAGAAAAATGCAGAGAGAGAAATAGAGAGAGAGAAAAAATGGTGAATATTAATTAACAAATCCAATCATTACAAAGAGAGAGAGAGAGAGAGAGAGAGAGAGAGAGAGAGAGATGCTTCTGGCCTGCATTATTTAAACGCGCGGAGAAGTCGACAGGAGGCGGTGCTATTCTGCTGTGATTGGCACACGTATGAATTATTTTCAACCGAAGCGCCAGGAGCATTAATTTTTCTTTTCTTTTTTTTTTCAACTCAGTCTTTCATTCACTCACTCATTCACATTATCTATCTATCTATCTATCTATCTATCTATCTATCTATCTATCTTCTATCTTTCTATCTATCTATCTATCTATCTATCTATCTATCTATCTATCTATCTTAGTCTCTTTTCTTCCTATCTATCTATCTATCTATCTATCTATCTATCTATCTATCTATCTATCTTAGTCTCTTTTCTTATCTATCTATCTTTTCTATCTATCTATCTATCTTAGTCTCTTTTATTCCTATCTATCTATCTATCTATCTATCTATCTTAGTCTCTTTTCTTCCTATCTATCTATCTATCTATCTATCTATCTATCTATCTATCTATCTATCTTATCTATCTATCTTTTCAACCATTAATATTTGCCTGTTTTTACCTATACCTATCTATCTATCTATCTATCTATCTATCTATATATATATATATATATATATATATATATATATATATATATTGTAAGTTTCACCCCAAGTAAGGCGGGAAGCCACTAGCACGCAAGGGGTTAAAGAGAATTGGAGTGAGACCAACTGGGAGTGATAGAGGAAAGGATGAAGAGAAGGATAGGGGATAGATCAAGGCTTCTGCAGTTGTCGATTGACATTACATTTGAATAGTTAGAGATTATAGCTATCAGGGAAACAGGAAAAGGGGAGATAGTTCCACAGGTGAGACGTGCAAGACATGAAGCTATTGGAGTAAAAGAGATGGGTACATTTAACAGTTTCGACAGTGAACGGGTGTGAGCGAGATTCCAGCTTAGTAGAACGCTTAAATTCATGAAGTCTTGGAAATAGCGAAAGCAGCTCATCGGAGCAGTTACCGTAAAAGCATTTGTAAAAAAGGCAGAGGGATGCAACCGCACGTCTGTGAGAAAGTGACTGCAGGCAAGATGCCAGAACAGGGCCAATTACACTGCATATCGGTCTCTGGATCTTATCAAGAACCTTGAGACAAACAGAAGGAGCACCGGAACATATATGGCAGCAATACTCCATGCAAGGGATATATATATATATATATATATATATATATATATATATATATATATATATATATATATAATCACTTTATTAATCCCTTTATCTATATACCTATCTGTCTGTCTATCAACCCCTTTGTCAATATCTATCTATCTATCTATCTATCTATCTATCTATCTATCTCACAGACAAGTTTTTGACTGCACCGACCATTTCAGCAGTCGTTTTCAGTGTTTCTGTTATAGTACCTATTCTATTGTAATAGACTCTCTCACACATAATAATTAGTAGTAGTAGTAGTAGTAGTAGTAGCGGTCGCCAGTTGGGCTCAGTGGTGTTGAGTGAGTCAGTCGATATCGGACATTGAAGTATCAACCATCACAACTAGATTACTGCGTCATTAACTCTTATTGCAAGTTCCTAACGTTTTGTACGTCGAACCTAATTTAGGACAGACTTAGTGAAATACAAGCCTCCACCGTGAAAAACTACTCTACAACAGTTTCCAACTCGGCTAACATTAGCCAAGGAAAATTTATACTGCAAACGGAACTGCAATTTTCACTATAACGATTTTTGCTATTGTACTTGAGCCGAAGGTGACTGCGTGGATGTGCTTTTTGGATCTGTTACTAGGACCTGCGTACAAAGATGGCGCCGTGACCCGATAATTTAGGATCGATAGGAAGGATCAGAAAATAATTTCTTGATTCATACATATAACAGTCCTCCCATATCAGCAAGGCTAACGGACTAATGACAATATATTTCTATAATAAAATTTCTTTTCAATGCATTACTATAATAAAATCCTTTACAACACGTTTCTATATTTTTTTACAATGCAATACTATAATAAAATGTCTTGATAATGCATTTCTATAATAAATTTCTTTAAAATGAATTACTATACGAAACATTGCGTTTAATTCGAAAAAGAAAATTGTTGAAATTGGATGATCACGTCACACGAAACGACAATGATTTCACTACCATCCTACGAGAAAACAACTTAGGAAAAAATATAAGAAGTGGGTAGAGGGAAAATGTGTTGACTAGATCATTCACAGAAACTCAGCAGTTCTGGATATGACGATAAACTACATCCGGCAGCCAGACCTCTGATCGGGAGATTGGATGTTTTGAGGAACGTGTTATTGCTAGGTCCACCCTGAACCGGGATAGTACCACCTAGTAGGTTCACAGCTATGGGCAAATAGTGAAACAAACAAAACAAAACAAAAACATTATGAAGGTATAAAAATACATTTTTATGTAAAAAAATACCAACAATACATATTTATAGTAAAATTACCAACATTACATTTTTAGAGCAAAATGACTAGCAATATATTTTTAGTAGAATTACCAACAATATATTTTATAACAAAATGACCAACAATACATTTCATAACAAAATGACCAACAATACATCTTATAGCAAAATGACCAACAATACAGTTTATCTGTAGTTGAAGGCACACAAATGCGTTCAAAATATATTTTGTTGAGGCCATAAAACTTTGTTCAAAATGTTTAGATTTCGGTATTAAATAAGCCATAGAGGTTGGTATGCCTCTAAACAAAATCAACCAACCAACAAACAGAGACTCAGAAATTATTACGGGACTGAGGTATATAGATGGAGCCTGTCGGGTGCTCAGATTCGCTGAGACCCTACTACCACTCCAGATCATAGGACTGAGGATGATGTTGATCAACAGCAAATCATTATGAATTTACATTATACATATAGTAATTCGCTCCTTAGTGTCGACTCGGTGGAGTAACGGATAGCGGTTCGGGTAGAAGAATCAAAGAGCCGAATTCGAATTCCAGTCAAATCCATTACATTCACTTACTGTATGAATTCTATTTTTCTCAACTCCCCCCCCCAGCTATGAGTAAATAGCACGATAGACCAGGTTCTATAGCCTTTCTATCACAAAAAGAAATGGCAACCTCCTGCGGGGAAAAAAAATCTGCCTCGTCGATCATGTATCGAAAGATACATGATCGCCTAAGCGTGTATTACGTATGGCACACAAATAAGTTCAGTTCTTGAGAAGAAACGATTGCGTTTATTTCTGATAACCGTATTTTTTATTTTATGGTTTCCTATGCAGTTTTCAAGGAGAAGCATTTCTAATACAGTCCTATAGGAAACCTAAGTGATACGCATAATCAGTTGATGCTAAATGACCAATTGGGAATGGTGGTACGGTAGATTAATGGATAGCGGCTCTGAGTAAATCGGAAGGCTGAGTTCGAATTCCAGTCGAGTACATTAGACTCACTTATTTGTTGATACCGTTGTGAAAGGTATAAATCTCCTTTCCCCCGATCTATGGGTAAAAAACAGGACATACTGGGTTCTATTAGCTTTGAGAAAGAAAAATTCTAAATTCAAAATCTTCAATAATGAGTAAATAGTAGGGGAGCTTGTAGAGGCCATAACTCTTCAGGTACCGATCAATGGTCTCTCGAAACCGACGGATGCCATAAAAAATAGTCAACTCAAGGATTCTTGAGTTCATGTCATTTCCTGGAGTATTTTCCTGCAAATATGCTTGGCAACCAGACTAAGAGAAGGAGAACTCGGAATTCAAATCCGAAGCCGGAATTCCAAAGACAGTCCGATATCATGTTCAGTTTCCTTCTGACAACTTCTGCAACAACGCTGGTGCCAAGCTGTATTGCTTTTTTCCTTAGACGGTGGTGTGATGCGGCGAGAGGAAACGTACTGCCGATCTCTCATGTCCAGGCCTTCGTTCTGGAGAGGTCATAACTCTTCGGGTGCGGGTCTATGGTCTCTCGAAACCGACGGATGCCATAAAAAATTGGCAACTCCAGGATTCATGAGGCGATATCAATTTATGGAGTATTTTCCTTCAAATAAAGCTGGAAGAACAGACCAAATATAATAGTGAAGAGAAACTTAAATAATGAAACTTTGTGCAATTCCATTGTTTATAGGATGCTGCAAAGCATATCGTACTGTTAAAAAATGTCACACTTAGGAACCTAACATACGTTTGATTTCACAGTTTTCTTAATTTTAGCAAGTTAAAAGTGTTAAAATATCATTTTTATGGCATTTAGGATTTCATCGCATTAAAGGGATGATTACATTGATGTGATTACACAAGCGCATATTAAAAATTTAAATTTTTTAATCTTTAAAAAATATTTTAAAAGTGTGTGTTTTCGGTAGATTGTGTCACAAATTTAATTTTTTTTTTCTCTCTTTTAGTCTATGTTTTTATCACATTTGTTAAATAACTCACATTGGGATCTGACAAGAAAGTTGAAATACTGTAAGCTGGACGTAAATTTACTGAATACTGTACGAAGCTGGACGTAAATTTACTGAATACTGTACGAAGCTGGACGTAAATTTACGAAGGATGTGTGATATTTAATAACAAAAGTGAAGAAAAGAAACTAAATGAAATCGGTTAAATTATAAACCCAGAACAAATATTTAAAAAAGATAAAAATTTAAAATTCCATGCGCATGCGCATTTACATCAACGTAAACACCATTTCTTCTTATAGTCTATATTTTATCACTTTTGTTGTTAAATATCCCACATTGCGATAACCGACAACAAAGGTGAAATATTGGAAGAAGCTGAACGTAAATTTACTGTTGAAACACCGATTCTTGTAAGATCATCGAAGTTAAGCAATGTCGAGCCTGGGCAGTACCTAGATGGGAGATCGCTTGTGAATACCGGGTGCCGCACGCTTGGGTGTTCGGATGGTGCAATGGATAATGGCTTGGAATTGTTAATCGAAGATCCGAGTTCCAGTTACAGTTGGGTCCGTTATATTCTGTTATGTGCGAATACCTATAGGAGAGGTATGAATTTACGTCTTCTTCCCACAGCTATGGGTTAATTACTAAGACTTTTATTACCAAAACATTATTATCTCTCCCCCCAACCGCCCAAAAATTGTTACAATCTAAAAATATTTATGGCTTTCAATAACCTGCAAAAGGTTGATAACCCGTAAAAAGCAAATCAATGAAAGAATAATAGATAAAGGTAGTACATTTACATAATACGTGTGATGCCTTTATTCCGATATCGGCGATTGTATAAATACCTTATTTGAATGCATATTTATAGTGAAATCATTGAAAATGCGTTTACATAAGAGCCTACAGATTTGGCTTTATTTAAAAGGCGATTTGTGGATCGGGGAGTTCCTTTTTAAGATAAGCTTGCCTAAGTCTGGTTACTAACGAGTAGAAAATCATTTCTAAATTTAGTCATGTTCAGTTTCTGCTTACAGTCTATTCATATCTATCTATCTATCTATCTATCTATCTATCTATCTATCTATCTATCTATTGCAGACTGTCCATATTTATCTATCGGTCTGTCTATCTATCTATCTCAATTTGTTCTGCATTTTTTCTCTCTCCCTCTCTTTCTCACTCTCTCATTTTCTCTCTCTCTGTATATATAGGTTTGTCTATATTTAACTATACACATACATATGAATGGATACACACACACATACATATATATATATATATATATATATATATATATATATATATATATACATACATACAGAGAGAGAGAAGTAGTGAGACAGTCAGCTAGATGCACAGACAGAGAGAGACAAGGAAAGAGATATTCTCTTCATATCTGTCACATTTCCTTCATAACTGTTTTGTTTGTCTGACCATCTTGTTTATTCATTATCTATCTCCGTATATATATATATATATATATATATATATATATATATATATATATATATATATATATATAGCTATATATATATATATATATATATATATATATATATATATATATATATACTTATATATAAATATATATGTATATCTGCTTGAAAACCATATATATATATATATATATATATGCTTGAAAACCACACCATGAGTTGACCCAAGCCTTGTCAGTGAAATTGGGCAGGCGGACCACATAGGGCAGTCGATAGCTGTCTTAGCACCAAATCACAAGTCATCATGACCGAGGGTTTGAGTGTACTGGTGTTGATCATTGTAGATAACACTCACTTTCTCAGAAACTGTAACTGTCTGCTCAGCATAGTTGCAGTATAAACCACAGGTTGTCTCTGTGGGTGTTGACCAAACAGAAATGTGCCTGAGCGAGAGTCTGCAATAGGGATTAGCTAGCCGCCCTCAGCGGGTACCTATTATATATATATATATATATATATATATCAGTCCGTTCATATCTATCAATACATTTCTGTTCATATCCATGTTTCTGAATGTCTTTTTTGTTCATATCTATCTATCTATTTTCAGCGATTGCACTTCTATATATATATATATATATATATATATGAATATATTTATTTTATTACCCATGATCCTTTGACTCGCGATTTTACACGTCAGCACGAATTTTCTCAAGCTCTGCCATCATATATCAACATTAAAATATCAACCTTGCTGGAGTATACGTCATTTTTTTTTCTTTTCTTATCATACCGTCACACTCAAGACAGGAAATTTCATTAATCACGTAAGTTACCTTTTAAAACAATTGGCTTTATCTACAACTATATTGGCAACTCTATAGTTTATTATATAACAGATAACACTTCGAGAGCTTTTAATACATGTGAATGTCTTTTGGCTTTAAAAGCCCGTCCTAATCGTTGGTGATTGGTTCTTAAATGCAAACATTGATTTTATTCGGAACAATGTTCAGGAATCCCTTGATTAGTGCAGCTAATGTGTACATTAAAAGCTACGCACTATTCGAAAATGCATTATTCGTATATAATAATAAATTCGGTGAAATTATGTAATTTGTATCTAAAATTTTAGTCTTATTCACAGTTAATTTCTAGTTTGCGCACTTTTTAATTAAAATATGGGAACATATATGAAGATACAATAAAAATCCTACGAATTAATGTTTATTAATCTGATTTTTTTTACGAAAAACTTATTTAGAGTCGTTTGCTGCATGGTATTCTCTTCTTCATATAATTGGCGGCGCTGAGAAATTACTCCTTCAAATTTTTCAAACATATCATAATTATTAGTATTTTAACTTAAATATCTAATTTATAATCTTCCTATAGCAAATGCATACATCTTTTATATTTCGATATTTTTTAATAAATTTCTGGATCAGAAATCGTGCATCAGAAATGTCCTTTTAAGACCTTCAAAATAAACATGAAAAAATCAAAATATTTCCAAAATTTTAATAGCGACAAATATTCAGATATCTATTTTTATTATCGGCTTATATTATAAAACTAGCAGCATGGCCCGGCGTTGCCCGTGCTTGATTCAAAAATCGTACGACTCATACAGCAATCGCTATCCCTTGACTTAAAATATTTTTGCCCTTCCTTGCCTTTAAAGGAGTGCCCTTTTCCGTGCTGATGTTGCTACATGCCTTACTTCTGCCTATCTCACACTGCGAATTTTTTCTAAGCTCTATACTAAACATTAAATCTGTTACGGAAAAAGAACTAAACAAAATTAACACAAAACGATCAGCTTTAAAAAAAGACTCGTAACTGGAAAAACAGAATGAAAAAAGAATGTTAACAACAAATACTTTTTCACACCCAACCCAGTTTTGTGGAATCAGAATCAACGTTGAGTTTAAGCAAGCGAATGAGCCAATTGGACGAAAGTGCCATGCAGATTTCAATTTTTTCCACTTGTCACGAATGCAGCTATCGATTTTTTTGCATGCGAGCATGCTAGTTAACATCCGTGTCAGTCAGCTGTTGGCTCTCACGCTGGCCAATAGAATTTTCCTGCCTATTCGTGGCAGCCAGCTATAGGCTCTCACTCTGGCCAATAGAAAATGGCTGCAAACTACATGAAAAGCATGAAAAATCGATTATTTCCACTATCGATGGGAGTTGGGAAATGCAAAGTGGGTCTTGGCCTTCCCGCTAACTTGGAGCATGTGCATGTAAATGTTGGTACAAATCCGTCGAAAATTGCGGGCGTGCATTCGTTACACACACACACACACTCATCCTGCCTTTTATAGATAGAGATTTATCTATTTATAACCGTCCATTTTTAAACGCTACTGTAGTTACTGAGATAACGTAATACTTGACAAAAGAAATAGTTAGCCATTTTCCAGTTTAAAATTTTTAATTAATCGGTAACTATAAAAAAATTCCATTTTCAGTTGCTATGGTTAAAGTGAAGTATATTTTACCGCACTAATTCAGTGTTATGTATACACTAATCTAAATTAGGTATATAACAATTTTAGGGCACTAATCGAAAACTAATCGAGGGATTCCTGTATTTCAATCCATTTTTTTTTTTTTTTTTTTTTGCAATTCTTACCAACTAGCATTAATACATTGGATACGTTTGACAATTTTAAGAGAAAAGTTAAATTCATTTCAATAGACGAGCGTACATTAAAAATCACACTAATCAGCCGACAGTTCACGGTTATTGATTTTATCACCGTTTTGACCTCACGACATGATCATTATTTTCTTTTTGTTTGATTCAATAATTGTTGGCGCTAACCTATGCTCAAACACTCGGGAATTTTTATCTCTATATCTGAAGTTAGCACAATTCTGTATTGCAGGTGCAATTAATGAACCGTATTACGACGTTTACAAGTTAAACTTTATAAATCGCAGACCCCAACAAGATGTATACAACCGAAGCAGTCATGAAAAAAACAAAGGAAGGAAGGAAGGAAGGAAGGAAGGAAGGAAGGAAGGAAGGAACGTCCAACCAATACTAGATAGAAAAGAAAGAGAAAAGAAAAGCCCTGCCAATACCTCACAGAAAGAAAGAAAAATGCAACAAAGAAGGAAGGAAGGAAGGAACGTCCAGCCAATACTAGATAGAAAAGAAAAGAAAAGAAAAAGAAACGTCCCCTGCCAATACCTCACAGAAAGAAAGAAAATGCAACAAAGAAGGAAGGAAGGAAGGAACGTCCAGCCAATACTAGATAGAAAAGAAAGAGAAAAGAAAAGCCCTGCCAATACCTCACAGAAAGAAAGAAAAATGCAACAAAGAAGGAAGGAAGGAAGGAACGTCCAGCCAATACTACATAGAAAAGAAAGAGAAAAGAAAAGCCCTGCCAATACCTCACAGAAAGAAAGAAAAATGCAACAAAGAAGGAAGGAAGGAAGGAAGGAACGTCCAGCCAATACTACATAGAAAAGAAAGAGAAAAGAAAAGCCCTGCCAATACCTCACAGAAAGAAAGAAAAATGCAACAAAGAAGGAAGGAAGGAAGGAACGTCCAGCCAATACTACATAGAAAAGAAAGAGAAAAGAAAAGCCCTGCCAATACCTCACAGAAAGAAAGAAAAATGCAACAAAAAGAAGGAAGGAAGGAAGGAACGTCCAGCCAATACTACATAGAAAAGAAAAAGAAAAGAAAAGCCCTGCCAATACCTCACAGAAAGAAAGAAAAATGCAACAAAGAAGGAAGGAAGGAAGGAACGTCCAGCCAATACTACATAGAAAAGAAAGAGAAAAGAAAGGCCCAGACAATACCTCACAGATAGAAAGAAAGGGAAGAAAAAAGCACCAAAGAAAGAAAGAACGAAAGAAAGAACCAAAGAAAGAAAGAAAGACCAGTACATCATGTCGTTCCAAATCTCTGGCTGAAGGAATTGCATCATGGCGCTCTTTTTCTCACAGATGATGTCCAACTGACACTACTATACTGTGCCGTCGACCAATACAAAAACTACCAATGAGCATGCGCGAAAATTTATAATGGCGACCATTTACCCATCACTCACTGTATATATACTCATTCCTGGTAAACAGCATTCAGGAAAGAAAAAGAAAATTATTTCTGGGGGTTTTAACAGCTACTATTTCTGTTTTTTAACAGCTATTATTTCTGTTTTTAACAGCTATTATTTCGTTTTTTTTACATAGAAAAGAAAGAGAAAAGAAAACCTATTTCTGTTTTTTAACAGCTACTATTTCTGTTTTTTAACAGCTATTATTTCTGTTTTTTAACAACTACTATTTCTGTTTTTAACAGCTACTATTTCTGTTTTTAACAGCTATTATTTTTGTTTTTTATGTCCAACTACTATTTCTGTTTTTTAACAGCGAAAAACTATTTCTGTTTTTTAACAGCTATTATTTCTGTTTTTTAACAGCTATTATTTCTGTTTTTTTAACAACTACTATTTCTGTTTTTTAACAGCTACTATTTCTGTTTTTTAACAGCTATTATTTCTGTTTTTTTAACAACTACTATTTCTGTTTTTTAACAGCTACTATTTCTGTTTTTTAACAGCTACTATTTCTGTTTTTTAACAGCTACTATTTCTGTTTTTTAACAGCTACTATTTCTGTTTTTTAACAGCTATTATTTCTGTTTTTTTAACAACTACTATTTCTGTTTTTTAACAGCTACTATTTCTGTTTTTTAACAGCTACTATTTCTGTTTTTTAACAGCTATTATTTCTGTTTTTTTAACAACTACTATTTCTGTTTTTTAACAGCAATTATTTCTGTTTTTAACAGCTATTATTTCTGCTTTAACAGCTATTATATCGGTTTGTTTTTTTTCATTTACCTATTTATTGAACAAAAAAAAGAAATATTATCGTTATTAAATTTTAACCCAACCCCTCTTTGCATGGCACATGGGATAATATAGTTATTCGAACAGATCAGTCATCCCTTTACATATGCACAATCACTATGCTAAAGAGCTTTTGTTACATCATCGGAAATCTAGCCTCAAACGTCGAATTTGCGCTTTATCCAATAGAAATCATTGATATCGATTAAAAAGAAATGTTCTGTTATATCCCTCTTGAATTACGCACTCATTTTATAGAAAGCCAATTCTAATATTAGCAGTATTGAAAAAATCCCTTTTTACAATGTCCTTCAATATAATTTTTTTTTAAAAATACTGCACACTTTGAGTGAATAAATGCTCTTGCTTTTACCTTTTCAACATAGCGAGCCAATTTCGAAGAGAAAGAATCCGGGATCTTTTTTTTTTTTTTTTTTTTGTAAAGTTATTGCCCTCTGATATTGATCGCGTAAAGTACTCTTTAAAGTGTTCAGCTAAACCAATATATTGATTCCTAATCATCAACGAATTCAAGTGCAGATAGAGCCAATGCCTGCATGTAGTCGATTATATTCTTCGGTTTATTCTTCATAGATCCGTAATTTGCCTTCATAGAAAGGGTCATTTTAAGTCTTTAGTGCTGGTTAAATGACGTCGACAAGAGTGAAAAAGGTGTCATTTGATACTGTAATAGTTCGAAGATTATCCGATTTAGTTACGGGAAAACAAATGAAGAAAATATATCAATTTTAGTCGACAAGCCGTGGAAGAACATTATATAACTCAAACCAAGAGTGGATAATTCTATGAATTTATTAGGTTGGTGCAAAAATAATGACGTAATAATGTCGTTTTTTGACGTATTTTTTAATGTCAAAAACGACATTTTTACGTCATTATTTTTGCACCAACCTAATATTAGACTTTTACAAATGGATTTCTTTGTATTATTTTTAATTTTTTGAGTGGATGCATAAGATTTCATTTGCTTCCAACTCTATAGGATCCAACATACAGTCGACCATGTGAAAAACAAAGATCTTCTAAATGGGCAGTATAAGCAATACCCTACAACGTAACAACTATCCTGGGTACATGACAGCAGCCCCCCCAAAACTGGGATAGGCGGGTACAAGAGGAGTAGGACAACAACACTCAAAAAACAGTCTGCCTGCCTTATGTGAAGGGGTTATCAGAGAAAATACAAAGAGTTCTTTTATTAGGTTGTTAGAAGGGTCGTTCCAAAAAGTTCTAAGCCTCACCCACAAGGAGTTGGAGAAACAAGAGAGTTTTTCGCTATTTTTCAATATAGCCCCCTTGACATCATTGCATTTGGCTCAACGAAGCTTAAGCATGACAATCCCCTCACGGTAAAAAACGTGCCGTCCTGGTCGTCTAAAAACTCCTCCACATTACATATACATCATTATTGTTTCGAAAAATGGCGACCAGGCAGGTGAGAATTGAGTTTATGAAATAGGAAGACGTCAGATGGTGCTAAGTCTATCGAGTTATGGGGTGGGTTAGCAATTCAAAGCCACAGTTAGCTGATTCAGCTACTGCAACCTGAGCAGTGTGAATGGTCGCATTATCACGAAGCAAGAGCACACTTGCACTCAGCTCTACGTTTCGACTTGGTTTCTTCCTTCTTCAGTTGTGTTAGCACTGATGCATCATTAATAGTTTTTTTCTCCCATTTTCCAGGTAGACTTTTATCATTACTCATTCAGAATCCAAAAAAAACAAACGTCATCGCCTTGCCAATACACGACGCACGCTTAAATTTCTTCGGGAGTAGAGAAACAGTGTGTATCTTTGATTCAAGCTCGAAGTGGTGAAAGTAGGTCTCATCTTGAGTTACTAATTTGCGGTGGAAATTCTTAGGGTCAACCTGGAAGCGATTCAGAAGTGTCCTGAAAATGTCAACTCTTTTTCAGCTTCTTCTCTGGTGTCAGCATTCTTGGAACCCATCTTGCAGACTGATTGCTTATCCGCAAGATAAAGAAGCATGAACCCAACCATAACTAATACCTATGGACTAGGCTATCTGCTGGACAGTAAAACGTCTGTCATCCAAAACCATACGGTAAATGACATCAAGTTGTTCATCAGTGGTTGACGGTTTGCAGAGACCTGACTGAGGGTCATTTTCTGAGTTGTCCTTGCCCTGCTTGAATTCCACAGCCCACTTCTTCACAGTTGCATAGGAAAGCGAGTCCTCAGCAAGTGTCTGTCTCATGTCATGGATTTTCTTGGGTGCCATAGCTTCCTTTTGCGGATATTTTACGACCAGTCAAGGCTCTATTTTGCCCATTTTTAGGATTATCACACTACTCTCACCTTTGTATAGTCCGCACCTGCACAGAAAGTAAGACAGAAATCTGAATGAGTTTTTGTAGTTTTATAAGAAGAGGCAAGTGTGTTGCCACAACAAAATGATCAGCTATGACTCTTCTTTCTGGGTGAAACTTGGAACCTTTTTGAACGACCCACGTACATATATTCGTTCGTTTCTTTATGTTCTACGAATGATCTCGATGATATGTTCTACAAATGATCTCGATGATATGTTCTACAAATGATCTCGATGATATGTTCTACAAATGATCTTTCATCAAATTTTTTGCTTCTATGTATCTTTGGCCATGCTGTGAAGCCATTGTCTAACGTTATTGAAAATTTATTTCAGATTGGACAAAGCGGTCAGGATGGAATGCTAAGGAATCAAGAATTAGCATGTGCGACATCATCATCTCTGCTTTTAATCAAGGCCACAAAGCTGCTGGAGACGTTGGTTCTGTGAACGGTGAGAAATTCATTATCGAAAGGATGACGCAAAAATGGTTTTCACGTTTCAATGAGGTGATGTTCAAACTCAGACTCTCCGCGTTCAGGTCGTTCTATTCAGTTTGCTGAGAATCAATTGTATGTGATGATTAAAGAAGAAGCAAACCAGACCACCAGGGAATTAGTTCGGAAGATGGCATGCTTTCATGTTACTATCGATCGTCATTTTCACTCAGTGGGTAAGGTCCAGGTATATGTCGTAAGTCTTCTTGCTACAAACTGGTGGCCAACATTGTTATTCGTCTTTCACAATGCTTTAGCTTGGAATAGCTACACTACGGTCATGTGGCTATTTCTTTGATGCTGGTCAGTTCAAGATTAGGCTACATGTACACGGTGCATAGGTTCCACACACATTGACCGAGATAAACAAACCCAGCGCTCCTCCATTACTACCAGTTTACTAAAGTGGAATCAGGCTACTCATGAATTCAAAAAACGAGCTCGTCTGAGAAGTTCTGATATACCCAATCCAACAGTACGCTTAATTTCATACGGTCAAGGTACCAAGGAATAAAGCTTGCCATGAAAATATTTAAGGAAAAAACACACCACGGCGATAGGAAATTTATTGAAATCGAGAGGCCAGATCAAGACCGGTTGTATTACAGACACTTCATCCGATTTTGTCAGGAATCTCGATATATATATATATATATATATATATATATATATATATATATATAGGGATTACCTAGTTTTTCATAAACTATATATATATATATATATATATATAGATAGGGATTACCTAGTTTTTCATAAACTCTATATATATATATATATATATATATATATATATATATATATAGTTTATGAAAAACTAGGTAATCCTATGGGTAAACCTAAGGAGGATAAAAACCAGAGAGCTCAATGTAAATCCAGAGCAAATAATTTAAATAAAAACAGACCACTTTAAGGTTCCATGTAATAAATTATTTCCCCACGACCCTTTTAAAAGGACTGCGGATCATCAGACTTTACTTCCAAACAAAAAATGTAAAGAAAATTTACACACACACACATATATATATATATATATATATATATATATATATATATATATATATATATAGCCTGGACATTAGACTAGATATGGCAACCATAATCAAGGTATGGACAAATTGTAGATTAATAAAAGTTTAATATTGATTCTGACAAGAAAGATTGTCTAGGACGGCAGACAGGAACAA